CGAGCTGCTCGCTCAATGTAAGATAGAATCATACGACCACTGCGGGGCCTTGGTGTCGCACCGGGAATTGCTCCGTCCACCCATCCTGTTTTTTTTTTCCAGCTTGAACATTTTCCTCTGCTCTACACCTCAGTCCATCCTCCACCTGCTTCCCTCAGCAGCCGATACGAGTCGTTGTTTGGCCAGAGCCAGTCGAGGCAGCCGATGGGTTTGTGTTTGGGGCCAACGTGTTTATTTCATTTAATCAAATTTCACAATAACTGCTGGATGCAAAGAGCTCAGACGCCCAGTGTTAGCCTGACCCAACCCCAATCTCATGTTCTCACACTAGCACCAAAAAACCTCAAAACAATTTGTTAGAAGTTATTTTATCACACACACACAGGATTATTGAGCATGCATCAGGATATTTTATCTCACAGTGTGGTTAGCTTCGTGCTAACGGAACAACTCTGAATACAATCATTTCAGACATGTTCAAGGGTGCAGCTAGTTTGGTCTTATAAACTGTATCAAACAACTCGTATCTGAAGAAATGTTACAGCTGCTTCCAGTGGCTCACTGGGGTCACCATGGTAACCACGCACCTGTGTGCAGGTGCACAGCAGGCTGGCTTGAAACAATCAGGTGCTGTTTATAAGACAGTTGAGAGACGAGACGAATCTGTCCACATGACACAAATGAACTTGTTGGGGTTTCTGTACCTGGAGGATTGAACTTACAAACAGTTTTCACACACCTGTGTCTGTCACTGCCTGACAGCCAAGTTAACAAGAGACAGACAGGAAAGCAGACCTGAAAGTAAGCCTCAGACAGTCCAGTCTGAAGCCTCTTCAGGGTTTTCAAAGCAGAAATAAGTTCAGTTTAAAAGTGAAAAAGACAAAAATGTCTTCATTGTGAGGTGTAATGTGCCAGAAATGTTTATGAGAGTAAAAAGAGTTTGTTTCAAAATGTTGTTAAACTTTTACACGCTCTTAAAGTTCAAGCGTGTGACATCAGTAACTCTCAGCGAAACATTTGTAGAAAAAGAAATCAGTAAAATCATCAAAGAGAAACTGTGATGTGTAAAAACCATTAAAAATATAAACTCAGTCATCCATCTGTCCGTCCATCCATCCATCCATCCAACCGTCCATCCACCCAATCATCCACCCTTTCATCCTCTTTACCCGCTTCTTACTTTTCGGGTCCCCGGTGCACATATCCAGCAGTCACTGTGTCGGGGGGGACGACACCTGGACATGTCTCCAGTCCATCACAGGGACACCTAGGGACAATTTAGAGTTACCAGTCTAACATGCATGTTTTTGGTCAGTGGGAGGAAACTGGAGTAACTGGAGAAAACCCACGCAGCACGGAGAGAACATGCAGACTCCTCCCAGAAAAGTCCCGGGCTGGGATTTGATCCAACGACCTTCTCGCTGAGAGGTGGCAGCTCTACCGACTGCGCCACCGTGCCGCCTCAGTTCAGTCATGTAAAGTCCAGTTTTCTTGTTTAAACGGGTTTTAGTGTTCAGTCTGATCTGAGGACTCGTCTGTCTCACCCCACACCCACTGATTTATCTGATCTTTCTTTAATCAGAGACTCTTCTTCGTTTCGCAGTGTATCACTACCAAGGTCGTAGCGTAGGTGCTTTGAGGAGCATGTTCAGGTTCACAGCTTCACAACAAAATGCAGGATTAGAATATTTCAGCAGGAATGTGTGCACACGCCACATGAACTTGTCCTGAACTCATGTGTGTCACTGCTGCAGCTCAAAATACGCCGTGAAGGAAGTTCTTCTTCTTCTTTGGTGTTTTACGGCAGATTGCGTCCACTCAGCTGCTTGAGACTGGACCCCACACCAACATCTCTGTAAAGGAAGTTTGACGGACGTGAAACATCAATCTGTCAGTCTGTTAATCTGTCAATCTGTTAATCTGTTAATCTGTCAATCTGTCAATCTGTTAATCTGTCAATCTGTCAGTCTGTTAATCTGTCAATCTGTCAATCTGTCAGTCTGTTAATCTGTCAATCTGTTAATCTGTTAATCTGTCAATCTGTCAATCTGTCAGTCTGTTAATCTGTCAATCTGTCAATCTGTCAGTCTGTCAATCTGTCAGTCTGTCAGTCTGTTAATCTGTCAGTCTGTTAATCTGTCAATCTGCATTGGATCATTCCATGGCTTTCTCAAGGTCCCAGATGTGAGACACAAAAACTGAATTTTCAATCCAATGAAATACAGATTAAAAGCAAATTAAGTTTCAATTTAGTGAAATTAATTTTCAAACCAATGGATTTAATTTCAAATTACGTGACCACAGATTGAGTTTCTGAAGTTTGGAGGACCAGATTAAATTAGAAACCTGGTTATCCTCTGTGATGTGAACGTGTAAAGGCAGCTCACAGAGTGAACATGGCTGACCCCCCCCCCCCCCCATCATCATAACAGCTCATTGAAACTTCCTGTGTTTGATTCATGCGTTCACTTTGGTTTGATTTGATTATTTATTTTTGTTTTATTGCAATTCCTCGACCAAGCCCTGCAGGTGGTCTGTAGAAGTCTGGAACCTCCTCAAAGCTTTAACAGATGAACACTTGATGTCTTCGGACACTCAGTGCACGTGTGTGACTCAGTGCACGTGTGCTCTGTGTGTGTGTGTGTGTGTGTGTGCATGATGACTCTGACAAGCGGGTCGTTGTCTGTAAATGAAATGTTCTTGCTCACTGAAGCCCGATGGGCGTTGACTTGAAGTGATGTTGGAAACGAGCTAAAGATGAATCAGAGCCAAGAACCTGGTCCTGTTTGTGTGTCTGGATCTGACCCGGGTCACTCCTCACTGTCCAGATGGAATAGATGGACACAGGACTCTGGGAGACAAGGCGGGTCTGGCCGGCAAGAGGACCCTGGGTCAGGAGGAAGACTTCAGAACAGGTCGGTCCATCAGAACCTCTGCACACATTCAGCCATGAGGGCGTGTCTTGCTTCTTAAGCACAAATTTCTTTATCATGACTTGACTGAGTTTAGTTTTTACAACATTAATTCACATTTTTATTTAGAAACAGAACAAAAACACAAAGTTACAGTCAAACTTTAATGTTCTGGGAGAAATATATTCTTACTGATTAAAAAAAAAGAAGTTTTTCTCCAACTTTATGTTCAAAGTTTCTCTGAACAGATGTTCCAGGTGTAAACCACTAGGCTCCTCCCCTTCTCCAGTTGTGCAAAGGTGACGTAGGCTAGATCAGGTTTACAGCTGCTTTAAATACACACACATATACAGTATATATCTATATATAAAATACATGATTGGTTGTGGACAGATTGTTGTCCTGCGAGGTGGAGAACATCTGAGGTGTACCCAGGAACAGTAGGTGAGAAGTACCACAGGGACAGTAGGTGAGCAGTACCCAGGAACAGTAGGTGAGCAGTACCCAGGAACAGTAGGTGAGCAG